ATACTAATCCCTCACCTTACACATTTTCACAACAAAACGCTGGGCCACGTATTTAATAGAACCACAAGACAGTTGTATCTGAACGCATTCTGATTTAGTAGAAGACAGTTAAATGGTTAAAATAAAAATCCATTTCTTTTCAGGTCTAATTTTCTGATTTCCCAAACCACTGATTTCAGAGAAATTTTCCAGAGGACAGTTAAATGGTTAAAATAAAAATACATTCCTTCTTTTTTCTGATTTCCCTAACCACTGATTTACAGCGTGTGTGTGCCGCTTTTTTACTCCAAATATACAGTGTCACTTACCCAATTACCAGAGACGTTCACACCACATAACATGTTTAATCCATGTGGAATATCTACGAAGTATGAAATGATACAAACGGCCAAATACTGTTTGTCCTGTATTTTTCATCCTTCGTCCCAGAGTGAGATCTTCACAAACTTCTGCTTCACATGAGAAGGAACGGGTTTTTTTTTTTTAAACCCTGTGAATAAACCATTAAAAGAAATGTAAAAGACTTTTCTGAGTTTGTGGATAAGTGGTTTGGCCCTCAGACAACTTCACTTTGCTCTCATTCAATATAAAACAAACTCCACTCAGTCGATCATCCCCGTGTTCCTTAATCATTGTCAAATAACTTCACCCGTTTGTTCCGTTCTAGAAATCCAGCCGCTATCGTCCGCTGCACAACAGCTCCTCCTCCATGACGCTGCCCCTCACGAAGTCTGTATCCATGCTTGCGATTAGCCAGAGAGACATAGACGGTGAGTGGATGGTCTTTGGTTTTGTTTTACCTAAATTGTTCAGTAACTTTACGACAGTAACTAAGTTAGTCGACAGAACTGTTTGATTCTGCAAAGATAAATATTTTGATATTTATATAATTTTAATTGTTTATTGAAGTCCAATAAGAAACTAGCTTCTATTGCACATAATTATTATTTATGTAAATATTAATGATATAGCTGTAATATTATTTACTCAACATGTATTTTTTTATTTTATCTTATAAAAACAGTACAGTATTAAATCTTATTAATCATGAGCACATACACAGATACGAAGGCCTTGACAAGTTGACTTCATATATTACTACTTCACTAACTATTATTTTTGCATTAATCTCTGACCGATGTTAATTTAGATAATTACGCAGAGAAATTATTTACGTCTTGGAAGAGAAGGTCATCGAGGTCAACTATTACTGTACAGTCGTAGATTGACAGGTACAACATGCCAAGGCAACTTAAAGCTGAATTAGTCAGTCATTCCAGGAAAAATGTGTGAAAAGTGAAGTTTTTCCTTTATTTCAGTAACCAGACTGTGAAAATGTAAGGAAATATAATTGTAGGATTCAAAGATTTCCTTCATTTCTTTACCGTTAAATTGCCTTTAACATTTTTTCCATCCTCAATGCTTCACTGTTACTAATAATTATTAACTGCTCTGATCGTGCTCTGTTTCTCCTTCCCTCCTCCTCCTCCTCCTTCTTCTTCGTCTTTCTCTGCCAAGGGGTGGGATTTCTGAGGCATAAGAAGCGAATTTCCTTCTCTTTCAACCTTTCCCCAATCCTCAGCAAATATAAGTCTCACTTCATTTCTGGGGATTCTTCTTCTAGTGATGATGACGATACCATAAGTGAGTACTGTGAATGTGCCCAGCTGTGCATTAGCTGCAGTTGTTGTATCTCTTTTTAACTCTACAAAGGAACCAGAACTACAACATTTAACTACTATAAATGTAAAAAGTCTGGAAAAAGGCCTGGTTATTGTGTTAATTAAGGGACTCTCATCTCTAGTGGTGTCGTTAGGACTGCTGTTATCGCCACCAAGGTCTGTGTAATGGGAACAGACCGCAGTCTTCAGAAAGAGAACACACACAATAGGTGCCATTAAACATTTAGTTAAATTTGAATAAATATGCAACCTAAATATTAGTGTGACCTTTTTTTCCATAGTTAAAGTGATTCACGGAGTGAGAGCTCCCTGTGGCGTTAATGCTTTTATTGTAACGTTATATACACGTCTCTGAGGCCTCCGAGCAACGAGACGCAGAAACTAGACGAAGCCCTAAAGGTCACGCGCGGCGCACTTCTCACCGAGGAAATTGCTCATTACTGCCTCTGTTTAGCCGCCTGAATTGTTAGTCATTTGTTGTTAGCAATTAGTTTGCAGCAAAGTCACCAGTGTAGAAAAGCACCTTTCACATCGGCAGCAGGGTTTTGTGTTCATCAACACAGCCGCCAGCGTTAAATAAGACCCCGTCTTGTTTCGCCTTGTCCCTTATCCAGCCTGTTTAGCTGACCTTTTCTCAAATTAGTCGTTGTGTTTGTGCCACTGCAAAACAGTGATACACAACCAGCAGGGAAAGATGAATAAAAGAGTCATAGACCCTGCAGGTGAGTTGAATAAAGGCTGTTTTTATTCTACACAGATAAATGTGAGCTCGACGCCTCGGCTCCGACGCTGAGCCATTCCTTCCTCTTTCTTATCTCGGAGATTTTTCCAAAAGTGTTCTCTGTTTCCTTGACTGTGTTGCTACCAACACAGACAGGCCAAAACTTTGGCCTCATTATTCTGTTTTGGAGTTGACTTTCTGATACAGAGCAGACAGCCATCCTTTGCAGAATCCACTCTGATAACATGTGCTGGATAATCCACTGCACTGCAAACAACGCTTGGAGAAAGAAAAAAGGAAATGTGTCTGTGTTTTTTTTTTTAGCTTCAGTATTTAGCTTTCTCATTGTTGTAGAAGACAATCCTAGAGCAGAGTCAACTGTATATAATGATTAGGGCTGTAAAAAATGTATGCGTTAATAACGTTAAGTCATCTGTGAAACTGTTCTGATTAAATCTTTTTATTGAACTTTAATGCATGAGCAGAACGGTGTGTACTGTAGATCCAGTTTAAATGTGGCTCTAATACAAGAAAGAGAACGTTTCTGTTTCACCAACGCAGCTCTGGCCTAAAATACCTGGTCACTGCTCGGCTATGTCTTTTGGAGGCTACGACTTCAGGTCAAAGTCAACGCTGGCGTCAGACCAGCCTCAGTCTCAGCCTCAGCCTCAGCCTCAGCGCAGGGCAGTAAGTAAGTCTGCGGCTGACAGGACGACTGAGAAAAATTGCCAAATGGATTGCAAAGGGACTGTAGACAAATTCATTTGGCCGAGGCCAAGAGCTTCACCAAAGCGTTGAAAGCTTCGACCTGTTCTACAAGGCACCGCCAGGAAGCGGTGAGAGTAATGACTGAAATGAATCAACTTTATGAGGCCAAATTTTGAGTTATACTCACTTGCGTTTTTTTTTTTTTTATTTCATGCAAATAGTTACATAATTTGAATTTGTCACAAACAGGAGTGAAACAAATACCTGCCGTCTGTTATTTGTTTTTCTGCTCCTGTAAAATACAGAAAACAATTCTTGTCTGTGTCTCATTTAATCCTGATTAATGGTGATTTATGATGTTTTCAATTAGCCGCGATTAATTGCGCTAATCAAAATCTGCCATGAGAATAATTAGATTACAATTTGTAATTGGTTGACAGCCCAGACATATTTTTTTTATAACTGCCATTTTTCTGTGGATATGAAAAACACTTTTTTAAGTTTGAGTTCATGGTCTTCAGCCAGAGAGGTTCAGAGCCAGTACCCTGCGGCCATTAGTGGCACTCAATCTGAAAGCAGAGCTGGCTTCAACTTTTGGCCCTTTTTTTTTTTTCCCCCTCACAGACAGTATGAGTGCCAATGCTATTTTGTTGTCAGCCTCCAGACAGACTTGACGAAGGCTGCTAAAGGTGAAGTACATCGCTCAGGAGCATTTTTCTGTCACCAATCCAGATCTTGTAACCGCAACATGATCTCACAGCCTTCTGGACTCACAGACAAATTTTCTTTTCTCCCTTTTGGATTAGTCAGGTCATTCAGTCACATCTGTTACCTGACGAGCCAAGATGAGCTGCTTGTGTGGTTTTCTGTAAACATTTTGTGCAGATTTTTATTTCCCTACCCGGGGAGAGGAAGTACAATTTCAAACAAAAGTGCTCAGTGAACACCAGCCTGAATCCTTGTCCTAAAACTCCACTTCCACTTTCTCTCCAGGTATGAGGTCATTTTCTAGCACCTCCGGGTCACTAGCCTACAGGTCAGTCCCTTAACACCAGTCACTCTTTTTACTCCAACTGAGAAGATAATAAAATCCTTGGCCTTTGTAAATGCAGCTCCTGAAGAGTGCTCTTGTGTTGCAGTATATCAGAGGAAGAGCCTGGACCTCTGCGGACGGACACCGAGGAGAAGAGTGTGACCAAAGTCAGCCGAACCTTCAGCTACCTCAAAAACAAGATGTACAAAAAGACCAGGGTAAGAGAACGTGAATTTCTTTTCTTTTTTTTAGATAAGATGACTACATCAGTACTCTCTTTTTTTTCTTCTTTTCTTCAAACATAATACTTTTAAATTATATACTTAACGCAGTGTTCCTCAGCAGAGCTTTAATGCGTTGGGTCGAACATTAGCCATCAACGTATTCGCTTTTCTAACTCTAACGTTTATTTGTTCAAGTGAGGATATTGGAACATTAAGCTGCTTTTTTAATCTCACTCTGCTTCACATTTGCAAACATCCACAGTGGAAACACTGTCCAGAACGTGTTCTTCCTCTGAACACAACACACGTTTCCAGTCCAGCTCCAGAGCAATTTTTATAAATCTGTTTTCCTGTCGTTCCTGAGCCAAACACCAAACGTTTCTCTTTTATTGAGGGATCAGCTTGTCCAGCAAATAAATGTTCCTTTATAGAGGAGGTGAAGTGGTTTTTAAAAAAAATATTGTTAATTAACTACCAAAAATAAAGTTAAATTATCATTTTGAAGGCCATAAATCATACATAAATTAAAAGCTTGTTCTTTTCTTTACCAGAGCTGGTGGATGAGGTTATAATTGGACATTAAGAGCGATGTGTTGTGTAAATGTAGACTTGGTAGAGAGATACTGATGAGGAAGTAAAAGAAAGGGAGGACAGGGTTAACACAGTAGCTGTTTATTTCTTTCTCCTACTGTGGTTGTTGGTTTGTTTCTAAAGTGATAGGATTCTGAAGCAGCTCATTTGCTGCTGCTGCTGCTGCTGCTGCTGCTGCTGCTGCTGCTGCTGCTGCTGCTGCTGCTGCTCCCCCCGAAGGTCAGAATGCTCTTTCATGTTGTGGTCTGATGTGGTGGAATCCAAGGCAATTAGCAAAATGTTGATGTTCAATTTCACTCTGGCTGCAGTGAATCTCATTAGTGCTTTTGGATTGCATCCATAATTGAGAAATATATTCAGTGAGAACTACAGTGGTCCCCTCAGCGGGCATTTCCACAAATTGACTTCATCACTAAAGCAAATGATTTTTCTTTCTGGACATATTGACTGGATGCTGATTCTGTCGACAGCAAAGTGTTGTCATAGTGTTTGTACCAGACGAGGGGGTCATTGCACAAACAGCATCTCCGGTAGCCGTCCAGTCACTTCCTCATTGCAGCGTCAGTTTTAATGGTAGCGCCTGCGTCTCAGCCACCTCCAGGGATGGTAAACAAAAGATCCAGACGGAGCCTTGGCTTATCAAATAGATGGAAAAATTGGCTCGAGGTAGGCAAACCGTACAGCGTGAGGTGGTTTGGTCGCATCACGGTGACTAAGACGGTGTCTGAAAGAAATCGTGTTCGCTGATGTCTTCTTCCTCTGAAGTTGTCGTCTGTTTCATCATCTTTCTCTGCAGTGTCGTCTCTTTCAGATCTCAGGTTTAAATGTGAGCTGTCAGTAACTTTAGAGGCTTTTATTATCACATTCTGTCACGGTTTTGCCTTCGTGAAGAAATAAACTGTGTTATTTCTGTAGAATCGAGCATAATCTGTGTTATGTTATGCGTGTCAAAAACAGCAATCATGTCAATGACCAAAATGCAGAGTTACCTTGTTGAAAATACATGTTTCTGGTTCTAAATGACTTTTATAGAAAGAAGAAATCAAATATTATTATTTCTTCAACAAAATTGATCATGGAAACTTTTGATCGTGCACTTTTCATACAGAAATCAAGTTAGAAAAAAATCTTTAAACCAAAAAAAAGGCTCCTTAAGAAAGACTGTTTACCCACTTGTATTACAATATAATTATATGAATTACACAGTAATAGTAGCTGAGTTTTATATTTGTTAAAATGTGAAGTATAAATACATCAACTCAATATAATCCCTCATGTGGTCAAGTCGAGACAAGACTATAATCTTTCATACATTTTTTTTGTCTTTCCCTCACGATGAACATTTTAATTTTGTCTTTTTTTTGTAATCTTTCTGTGCTGTGTTTGAGGCTGTCTGACTTTTTATATCCCACTGCTGCATTTCTGCCTTGTCACTATGTCAGTCTTGACATGTAGTGAGTCACAAACAGTATATGTGTAGTGTTTACAGAGGAAGAGCTAAAGCTAATAGGCTAGGTTAGCGTTTGTTACTTGTTTACAAAAATCCCCAACGGGACAAGCCTTCACGTACATGTAGAAGTCACGTATCACAGCTTCAGAAGTGGATATGTAATTTCTTTTTTTTAACCACTGTAAAAATAAACATGACCTCAGACCTGAAGTCCAGTGAGATTTCACCATTGTGCGTCAGCGCAGGTTAAACAGCCTTTTGTTGAGAAAGTGAAAACATATGACACACACAAGTGTTTAACGGCCGTAAACATGTAGATTTGCTGTGGTCTCGTCAGCTGCATGGCATCCCGAGTTGTATAAAGCAAATAAGCTCCAGTATGTCAGAGCTTTGTGGTGCCCTTAAACCCAGAGGCCCAGGGCCGGTCATTAAAAGGAGCTGGAAACTCCATTTACTATTTCCTCTGGGTTTGGGTGGAGGCTGTGTGATGTAAATCCAAGAGAACAAGAGCGCTGTTCTTCTCTGCATCACTTTATGGGATTGTGATTCAGCTCAGACTACAGATATGACCAACAGCTGTTGATGACCTTGTCTAATAATGCCAAGGCTGCAGAAAGAGCGCCCTGTTATGGAAAGGTCAAAGATTTGATTCCCAGACAGCTTGTCTCTGTCAGTAGTCACAGATCTTCGGCGGTGCCTCTTCCCGCTCCCTCATCTTCAGACAGTTTGAAGACTAGTTTTTGACGTAGCAGTAGGAAAATCGCCTGTTATGTAAACTTAAAAAAAAACAACAAAACGTTATTGCTACTAAATGTATCAAATATTTTCCATGGCTAAAGCAAATCAAGTGGTTTTATCTCTGGCTGGATGCACAGCTTGAAACAAAAACACATTTTAATGAGACACTTTGTCATCAACATTAATAATGCATCACTTACAATGCAACGCCCCCTGCTGTGTGGAACATCAGAATAATAATGTTGCGCAGCTGGAAATTTTGCATAAACAACTGGCTCAAACCCCTGACATGTCTTTGGTAAATGAGTCCATTTTTAAATCAGCTGGCTGGAGTAAACATTTAGGTAGTAATTTAAAAAAATTAAAGTGATTTTTTTTTAACCATGACCCTCTCATCTGGACAGGAAAAGGAACGGGAGAAAAGGGAAAAAGACAAGGAGAGCAAGGAGAAGGACAAGAAGACGACCAACGGTCATCTGTTTACGTCGGGCCCCTCGGACCACGCAGCTCACTGTTCCCAGTGCAATAAGACATTCACCAGCAAAGATGCTTTTCACTGCACATGTAAGAACCGTTGGTTTTCTAAGAATTCTACTTCTTACTTAAATAAACTTCAGTTCCTGGGATTATCAGAAAAGACGGACAGAAGCTCGAAAACTACTTTTCAGCGTCTCTCTGATTCTCATTATTAGAGCTGTCAAAATGGACACTTTATGTTCATGTCACATTCATTTGTGAAATTTATCAGACACACAGAATGTCACGTACTGTGTATCAGTCACGCACTGTGTATCAGTTAATATGGTTGATGACAGGGCGCTAACAAAAAGTTTAAAAAGCACCTATTGATTTCAGACTAAAAACTCTTATACTTTGATGATAATCATAATAAAAGCTGACATGTTTTTGACTCATAGAATCCTAAGCTCAGGTAATTGAAATAATAATAAAAAAATAAAAAACTGTATTGTAGCTCCTGTACAGTCAGTCAGTCAGTCAGTTAGCCCCGAGTGACTCAGGCCATCTGTCTGAAGCAGCCCTTCGATCTGTGTGAAGTAGTGAAGCTCACCAAAGGCCAATGCTAATTTCCCAGTCAGACTTTCATCAGAGGAGCAGCTAAACAGTTTCTGCATTCAGTTTCCACTGATGCAGCCGTAGCCCTTGAAGAGGATGTAATTTATTGCACAAGCCTTTGGTGCAATCCCAGTAAGAAAAAAAAAGCAGAACCAAGATCTGCAGTAAACGACAGTCACACACAGACTCTGTCTTTGGTCTCTAGATACTTAGGTTCACACAGACACATACAGCAGTTTGTTTTTGTTTTTTTACTTAAAGTCCAGTTGGTCCTTCATTGTTGGGTGTTTTATGAAGCTCAGTATTCACAGATGTCTGCTTCAGATCCATTCAATTGACAAAAACAGTGACTCTTTGTCGCAGATCAGCCGGACTTCCCTAAAAAAAGCAACTAAATATCAGTAACAAACACCAGACAACACAAGAAGAGTTCTGCAGAATAAAACAGTGGAGAATTTCACCCTAAATGTTCGGGGCTTTTTTCTTTGTGTGTTGATGAAATGGTGCGGTGGATGTATTTAAGCAGTAGCGACAATTCCATTGTGACTCTGTGGTTTTCATGAGTAAAACATGTCTGTATGAAGCAGTTACTGTATGTCTGCTGAGAAGAGAGAGTCCAGTGAAGGTGTTGAATCCCACGAAGCCAGTCCTCTCCACCGCACTCACGGCTCCGCTGTGGGACTGAAGTGTTCACATGAATGTCGGACAAATATGTTTCTGTCCTGGTGTGGCCACAAGGAAAAAAAAAACATATGGTTTTTAAGGGAAAATTTAAGACTAAAGCATCAGAAGAGAGATGGGAACGTTTTTTTTTTAAGACTCCAACATAATGATCATTTTCCAAGATGAAGGGTTTTGGGAAAGTTTACATAATTGACATGTTTCCATGCAGCATATACACTGGTGTGTCACTCCCCGCTCCCCCTCCCTCGTCCATGAGAAGTATTACCTCCTGATTGCATCACATTCTCAGCTCCAGTCTGGCTTTCATTAGTGGGCTGGTTGACTTTCCTGGCCAGCTATGAAAACCAGTCAGAATTTCTAGCCTCCACCTTTCCACAAACCCTAAACACCCCCACCCCTGTCACCAGAGTCAGGGCTTTGACTGAGCTCTGCTTTTTCTTTTTCTTTTTTGTCTAGATTGTAATTCTTCTGTCCATAAGGGCTGCAGGGAGAGCCTGCCAGTGTGTGCCAAGGTGAAGATGAAGGTATGGTGTCCCCTCAGAGATACTTCACAATGACTCAGTATTAACACTGTTGTTTTGTGGTAATAATTGATTTGGAATCATCATGTTATTTTATATATTTTTTTTTTCTGCTCTTCTTGTCTCTGCCCCAGTTACCCAAGCAGCCGACTGCAGTACCAGATTCAAGCTCTAACCCTACAGTCACAATGAGGAACAAGTGTGAGTGTAAAAAAAAAAAGAAAAAAGAAAATGCTCTGTACTTTGGACCATAACCATTTACGGAGCCATTGTTGTAGCAGTTTAACTGTTATTTGCACACTTTATGAGATTTAATAAAAGTTAAAGCTGTATTCACACTGCAGGGAACAGAACAGGACCAATCAGCAGGATGATAGAATCAGATCTACAGTAATCATCTCCTGTGCTTTCTTTCACCTGTTGGTTAA